CCCCCCCCCCCCCCCTTACAACCTTTCTGTCAATCAAGTATGATGGTACTGATTCCACCATGAAACTAAGAAAAAAGCGTTCAGACGTGTGTTCATGTACGTCCGTCACACTAATATTTGTCGGTATGTGCGTCTATCACACAGTGTTCAAATGTTCTATGGCTGTATGCCATGAAAGTACAAGCATAGAGGCATTTTATACAGACAGACATATATACAAACATACAAGCATCTTAACTCAATAAAACCCTTCCCTTTACAGTCAAGGGAATTACTATTTTCACTTTGACTTAACAATTAATGGTCAGCTGCGGTTCACGAGCCGTTTAAAAATCTGCTTTCGACTAGCAATGAATTGATAGCACTTGCCTGGAAACCTGGAACAGATATTTACAAAACCACATCTAAAGCAAACTTTCTTGTCGTTCCATTAATTGATGTCAAGGATGAAAAAAAAGAACAGGTAACACAAATAGAGGTTGTTTTTTTTATTATCAAAACACCAAAAAAGCAAGAATAATATAAAAATTAAGTATATATGTTGTTATCATTGGTACTTATCAAGAATACGTTAAATAAGAGAAAAGAACAAAAATCATCAGTTAACTTCGTATATATACTTCTACATAGTACGTTTTAATTGATTGGATTTATAACGGGTAAATTTATTTAGACTCCTCCCAAAGCGACAACAAGGAGCTATTGTCACATTCAGAAGGCCACCTTCCAGCTTATTACTATGCCTGAAGATGTCATTGGCGCTATTGATTGAAACTGTTTATGTAAGGTAGAAATGAACAAAAACCAAGAAGATCATTCAAGTGAAATCGACATCCTGAGGACCACATTACATCTCCTGAGAGGGTTCTTTGAACAGAAGAGAAGAAAAACAAGATGAGATATAGAGAACAAAAGAAGCGATGGAAGACAGCTAAAAACACAATCAGAAACAGAGAGAGGATGTAAAAGCAGCAGTTAAAATAGATATAAGAAACTGCGTCAATTGGAGAAAAGCACGTACACGTGATATTGGCGTTTTAGAATGAGGGAGTAGATCAGTTGAATCTGTAAAAGTAAAAAAGTAGAGGACGCAGTCTATTAGAAACGTTACTGGCAGTAATAAAATCACCCACAGGCTGTTACACGGATATTAAAAGATTCTGAGATAAATGCGTTCTAAGTAGAAGGGTATCAGTATCAAGAATAACACCTTGATTACTCAGCTTAACAGACAGAATTTATAAACAGATGTTTTATAATTCACTCTCAATTCAGACCGAGGATCATTATTGTAGATAATAACTTTTCATTACCTCGACAGATCCTTGCTGGGTTTTCCAGCATAGAGTAGTTCAATATATAGGAATTTAATATTGTTAATTTGATATCGTTTTTTCTTTAATTAGTGTTTAGGACAATCACAAAGAAAATGTATGTGACAATTGTAAGATCAGATGAAGAACTGCAACAAATCATGGAATTATCGCATAAGAATTCACGTTCAATCCTATCTGCAGAAGAACAAGTATCGCAAGGGTTTACAGCATGGACATATTCGATGGAATTATTGAAAAAGATGCATGAGCTACATCCTAATATTATTGTTAAAGACGGTGATCAAGTTATTGGTTACGCTATGGTTGCTTTGAAACAAGCGAAAAGTTTCCACCCTGAATTGGAAGTGATGATAAACGAACTTGATAAGCTGATATACAAAGGTAAACCATTGTGCCAGTATTCTTATTATGTAATGGGGCAAATTTGCATTGCTAAAGAATATCGTGGAAAAGGCATTTTTGAACTTCTTTATAATAAGCACAGAGAATTATTATCAAAACAATATGAATTTCTTATTACTGAAATTCCGACTATAAATAAACGTTCAATTCGTGCGCACGAAAAAGTCGGATTCAAAACAATACATACTTATAATGATGGTAAAAATGAATGGAACGCAGTTATTTGGGACTGGTATCGTTAAACGGATTGACCATTAGTGTCAGATGTCAAAGAAACAAAAATTTATATATGTTTCCTCGTAAATACTGGTCTTTAATAGAATTTTTTTAAACATGTGTTGGTATAAGCTATTTATTAAGTAAAGCACCTCACCATATCTGCACTAAATCGGACAATCTATTATATACAGCATGTGTTAATTACATTTTCTCAAACAACCAATTCTGAGATTCGGAATCAGCACAAAAAATACGTCGACTGCATGTAATTAAGAGCCATTGCGAGGGAGCTACAGCCGATTTTATCAGAAGATGCTCAATCGATGTTCGAGTTTTTCGTCCAAACGTTGATATTAGACAGCGGCAACATATTTATCAAGATTTTTAAAATTGTTTGACTAAGACTTAGTCCCGCTAATAGTTATAGGATTTTTCGAGAAAGCCCTAAAAACAGTCTAAGACGGTAACTGTGTAAAAGTGAAAGTTGTGGTTTTTATATCTCGGTCTAGAAAGTAGATTAGCATAAGTAGTTGAGATCGAGTACTATCTAAGGCCAAGAGCGTATGCAAGAATAAATGTCGCATGTGTGTGAGCATATGTGAACAAAAAGGTAAAGATTTTACTTTTGAAACATTTTTTGTTTGCCGAAACGCACATATTCAGTGCTTTCGGTATATGTAGTATGGATACTTGAGTACAGAAAATAGTGGTTTTGATTTAGCCAATTGTCTTATCTGAGTTATAATGGAGCTCCAAAGCGAAATGGGGCACCAGTAAAAATTCAATTTTCTCATCTGATATCTTCTAGTCTCCGCGTGTTCTTGTGTTGCGAGAATCTACGGACCTTAGACTATCGAAATCTGAGAGCAGATTCATGGCAGGTTCACCAGTGGTCTAGAGGACATCACAGGAAGATCCCTAAAAAAACTGGTTTATAAATCCAAACTAATGTTAACTTATCGTATATCAAATGCAAGCGCGTTGCTAGCGGAGTCAATTGGATCATGTGCACCATCCGTTCTGTACATATGGGTTAGTTTGCATGCGAAAGAGGGGGGTTAACTTCATAAAAAAAAACCTCTATTTGTGTTACCTGTTCTTTTTTTTCTTTTAGAATAAGGAAAACGTGAGCTGTTTCTGACATCAAAAGACAGATTAAATTTGTTCTCTAAGGATACGTAAGGTGCGGATTTAGTAAGATGTGTGCATTATATGTTCCAGGTTTCCAGGCAAGTGCTATCAATTCATTGCTAGTCGAAAGCAGATTTTTAAACGGCTCGTGAACGGCAGCTGACCATTAATTGTTAAGTCAAAGTGAAAATAGTAATTCCCTTGACTGTAAAGGGACGGATGTTATCGAGTTAAGATGCCTGTATATATGTCTGTCTGTATAAAATGCCTCTATGCTTGTACTTTCATGGCATACAGCCATAGAACTTTCACAGTAGAGATATTTGAGTATGGGGAATCTGAAAATGGCTGTGAGCCCTCTAGAATCGTTCAGTTGACCAAAAAGCCCTTCTCGATTTGATTGGATGGAAATTCTCTCCTTCGGAAGGGAGAGTTTTTTCAACCGTTAAATGCGTGCCAGTGTGTATCCGTCCAGATATATACATCTACTATTGGTCAATATTATCCAATAGATAAACGGAGTAATAGATGGTGCTGAGATGCGCCGAAAAACTTAAGTGGGCCGGACGTACACATAGACATTTGAACACTGTGTGATAGACGCACATGGAGACAAATATTAGTGTGACGGACGTACATGAACACACGTCTGAACGCTTTTTTCTTAGTTTCGTGGTGGAATCAGTACCATCATACTTGATTGACAGAAAGGTTGTACAGCAAAATCGTTCGTTGTTAACAGCGTGCATCAAGGCGGACATTAGCCACCTTAGGAGCAATGACAGCGAAGGACAAATTATTTGATATTTCAGATTCGATCACAATAAAAGCTCATCTTAGAATACTTCGTTTGTTACTTTTTGCAAAAATAGTAAAAGGTTTTACTCCTCAGTATCTTACTGTTCATTTACAACTCCATCAGCCTCATGATAGATATAGTTTACGTAGTAATCAAAAATCCATAATCGATCCGGTAGATAGTACTGATGATGATTTTTTTGCTGTAGTAACCAAAGAATGGAATAGTCAGAAAATGGCTGAGGATTTTATAAAAGTTGGAAAATCCTTGGCGATTTTCCAGATCGATTTTCTATAAAGTAGAAAATACTTCCAAATTACAGTTTTAATTTGGTTTCTCTCTCAGTCTCTCATCGAAAAACCTTTTTTTCTTGTGCAGGATTGTACAAGAGAGTATAAATATCAGTAAGTGTAAAGATCATTAGTGATCTGTTTTCTTTACGACACACAATAGAATAAAAATATACTATACATTTTATAGAGAGAAAGGAAAAAGACTGCAACTGGACAAATGACGTAATTTATCCAAATAAAATAGGCATGGGAGATTCTTCACTGATTACAACAATATTATGTCTGCTAGAAAATAAACTTGTCTATTGGGACATTCATCTTGCTGATAAAGTTATGAATGGAAGCGTGACTTTTGTTCAGCGGTTGTCCGATATACAAAAACAGATATTAGGAAAATACACAGAATATTTAGTTTATTACGCGATCACACACAACGGCAACCACTAAGCTTCAGCGTCAGCATGAACGGGATTTCGGCTATTTGTGAAAAACTAAAATGCTTTAGACTATATCATACTTGAATACTATTGGAACACTATTTTTCAGATTCAGTCTTTTACAGAGAATAAAAATAAAAAACTTCCAAGGTTTCCAAACACATTGTGTTCGTCTTTAAACAATAAGCTGTTTTTTAAACTTTTGATTCGAAAGGTTAAAACACGCATATTCTTGTTCAGTACGACGAGCTCTCTCTAACCACGTATAATTATCACAAAAATAAATTTTGCTTAAGCTTTGAATTTCCGGCATCTTACTAGTCTAGGGTGCGAGTTATATGCCTCTGTGTAGAAGACTGCACTATTTCCATTAATCCCAAGTGTCAAAAAACATCTAGTATCGCCCGATTCATTTGGATTTCTAGATTTTTACTCGATTGCAACCACTGCGTAACGACAGTGAAAACCTAGTTGCAACTATTACTAGATGCCCATGCAGATGCATCTAGTTCAGCGTTTCCTAAATGGGGTTCCATGGAATCCTGGGGTTCCGTGAAGTGAAATCAGGGGTTCCGTCAGAGAAATAAAAAAATAAGAAAATAAAAAAAGCACTGAAGAACATTTTAGACATACATTTATAGACAGAAGGGAAAGAAAAAAAAGCAAAAAGACAGCGTGCGTCCTTTATGTATCGTTCTTTTCTGTTCTGGCGCAGCTGATAAAAGAAACATTTTAAATGTAAAATGTATCTTTTTTTGCCAAAGTTTTAACATTTACATTTGTTGCTACATGCCTAATACTTTAAAACAGGCATGGGCACACACACACTAAGTTTAAAAAATCTCTTTTGTCTGCATTTGTTTTCAAATGCATGTGTATGAAAAGTTGAAACCATACGAATAAAACAAAATACTCCATTCGAACACGTACATGTCATGTGTAGTACGCACAATATTTTGTGTACGGTATATTCTCTCTCATGGAATTGAAGTGTAAAAATTTACACATGACCAACTAGATTTTTTATAAAATAATAACTATTAAGTAAATATAAATATCAGTTAAGTTTACGTGCATAAAGGGTGGGCCAGAAGTTCTGACTCGATTTGAATAATAAATTTTTCTATAGTGAAACAAGTGATTGTAAATTTGTCTCTATGAAGAAAAGATGCAATAAAAAACGCTCTACAAAATGACGATTGATCGACC